CTCAGGCTGAAGAGGCGGCCGGCCCAGGGAGCCCTGTGGTGCTGAGCAGCGGTGGGGGTTACTCGCCGGCCCGCAGGGGGGCCAGTCCTCCCTGCTTGGCCCCGGCAGGTGCTTCCTGTGGCGCTGCCATTCTGGGGGTTCCCTCGGTCTCCCCCATCTGGCAGCTGTCCTTCCAAAAGTCACTCTGAGGCCGCGGCCCCCGTCAGCCCTCCTGGAAAGCAGGAAACCAGGAGGTCACGGTTCTGTTCATGGTTAGGGCACATGTCCAGGTTGTGGACTTGATCCCCAGTGTGGGGTGTGCAGGAGGCGGCCAATCAATGGTTCTCTCTTATCGTGGATGTTTCTATCTCTCCCTCTCTCTTCCTTTCTGAAATCAATAAAAGAGGTTAAAAATAAAAATTTTAAAAAGATGATAAACTTAAAAAAAACACCGAAAAAACAAAAAAAAGCTGGAAGCGGCCTCAGTGCCAGGCTGCCGTGTGGCTTTGGGTGAGTTTGGTGCCACCGCCAAGCTTTGTCCCCGAGCTCACCTGCCAGCCGGTCTCGCATGTTGTGACCATTAAGTGGTACCCACACGGGCACGGCAGTGAGGAGTGGAAATACGGAGGGTCCCCGGCTCGGGCTTAGGCGTGGGCTGTTGGGAAGGGAACAGGAGAGAGAAGTCAGCATCCTTGGCTGGGCCTCACACAGGGGTCAGACCGCCCCCCCGACCCCCGCTGACAGGGACCCCAGCAGCCCCACGCCTGCCTGTGCTGGCGGGAACAAAGCCGCTTGCAATCTTGAACCCGTGCAGAGCCCTGGGGGACCAGCCTGCTGGCTCCTTGCCTGGCACTGACCCGCCCTGCAGCCTTGGGCACGTTGTTTGCCCTCTGGGCCTGGATTTTCTGTTTTACCACAGAGGTAATTACTGTGGCTTCAGCAGATGCTGCATGGAAAGTGCTTCGTCGCGCCCTAGCTGGCGTGGCCCAGTGGATAGAGCGTCGGCCCTGAAGGGTCCCAGGTTGGATTCCCGGTCGGGGCACAGGCCCGGGTTGCGGGCTGGATCCCCAGTGTGGGGCGTGCAGGAGGCAGCCGATCAGTGATTCTCATTCATCATTGGTGTTTCCCCTTCTCTCTCCCTTCCTCTCTGAAATCAATAAAAATACGTTTTAAAAATGAAAGTGCTTTGTCCCCATGAGGAGCACCAAGGCCTGGCCAGGCTGGGCTCCGGGGGGCGGGGGCTGCGGTGCGGGAGCAAGGGTTCGCCTTTAGGCTGCAGGATGGGGGTGTCTGCTGCACCCCGGTCCCCAGGAGTCTCGGTCAGAGCCGGAGGGAGAGGCCGGGTGCAGACGCGGCCCAGACCCAAGCCCTCTTCCTGCTCGGGGCTGGGCCGCTCGCCTTCACAGCTGAGGGTCTCCCTGCCTCGCAGAGCGGCTGGCAGGGGCTGTGTGTTAAGCGACCGGATCTTGGGCCTCAGGTTCCCAGAAACGAGGGGCCGGGAGTTGGGCTGGGCCGGGCCCCAGCCAGACCCCAGGTCAGGTCAGGAGGCTGCAGGCAGAGGAGTGATGGCCAGGCGGGCGAGCCTCCCGTCTGCTTCCTGGACAGGACACGGTGCTGTAAACAGCTTGGAAAGGAGTCACCCTCCGGCTGAGTCACAGCTCCTAGCGACAGCCGCGAACTGTTTATCAACAGCGGCTTCACCCCCGCAGGGCCTGCCCCCAGCAGCGGGGGAAGGGAGAGGCGCCCGAAGATGTGGGCTGCCGCCACCCCCTCCCTCCACCCTGTTCCTCCCCCACACAGGGCTGAGCCTGGGCAGAGGGAGCGTTGGTGCGCATCTGTGCTCACGTGTCCGTGGGCGGCGTTTGGTTATGTCTGGGCTGTTGTGTGGCTGGCCAGGGGTGCTCTCCCGTGGCCACCTGGCATGGAGGCAGAGCCCTGTGGGACAGGTGGCTGGTCACATGGTCTCGGTGTCCTGGGACAGGCCAGGGTGTTGGTGGTGACCACGGCACCAGGTGATCTACCGGCAGAGTCAGATCAGACCAGGCCGTTCAGCTAAGAAAGAATTCAGAGCCAAGACTCAAAGTATAAGAGAAAGTTTGTTCAGAAAGTCACAGGTGGAAGGGATGGGCTCAGGAACCAGGTACAGAGGAAGGAAGGGCCTGAGAGCCTGGGAGCGAGGAGGGGAAGGTGATGAGCAGGTGGGAGAGGAGGGGGAGGGAGAGCGGCCGGTCCTGTCCGAAGGGCCTTTAAGGCAGGGATTTTAGGGGAGGCCCCAAGGGCGGGTCTAATAGAACATTAATCCGCGTTCCAGGTGTTCCTGCGGTTCAGGGTCTGGCCTCCACTGATGGGCGGGCGCTGGGCAGGGGTCACTGGTCAGTGCAGCTGGTCCTGAGGTCAGCCACGGGTCACTTGTCTGGTTTTGCTGCTTTTCTGGGCCTGGAGCTAAACCCCACCGAGGCCCTGATACTGTTCCCAGGGGCTCATGCTTTAGGGAGCCGTGGTGCAAGCGCCCGCCCGCCCGCATGGGAGTCCATGAGGCCACTCTTGGGCCCTTGTTCCGCCGGTCCGAGCCGTGTGACCAGCGATATGTAAGGTCAGAGGTCTAAACCACACGACAAGCGATCTGTCCGGGAGGAAAGGGTACCCTGGGGATCAGGGCCTTGCTTTCCTGGTTTTGCTGGTTGGTAGGCACCGGGGCTTTCTGCCCTGGGACCTTCTTTCTGTCCCTGGCCCGTCGTCCTTGCTCTGCTCACGCCTGGCTCACCTCCTATCACAAGGGCCGGTGACCGCGGGCAGGGCTGTGTGAGTGCTCCCAGAGGCCATGGCTCCATGCACAGCCCGTGTGAAGGAGGTCCCTTGTGGGCCCAGCCCCCACACGGGGTGAAGTGGTGGGGGGTCAGGTGGAACGGCCCTGACTGTCCCCAGCCCCCAGAGCCCTGGCTATCGGTGGCCGGTCTGATCTTAGTTCCAAGTGGTGGCAGTGATGTGGTGCACAGTGCGGGGGGCACCAGGCCTGCAGGGAACCCGGGCCTCTGCACCTGCCCCTCCCTCCGCAGGCCCCTCCCCTCCTTAGGCCCCTCCCTCTGCAGGCTCCTCCCCTCATGAGGCCCCGCCTTTCTTGCCTGCAGCTGGTCATCCTGCCCCTTGGCTGTGACTCAGACCCACTGCTCGTGGCCGCTGGGCCTGGCCTGGCTCTGAAAGGAATAGCCATCCTCCGGGCGCTGAGGTCAGGCCGACCTGTGCTGGAGACTGGGGCAGGGGAGATGTGGGGGTGACAGGCTGGGAGGCTGGGGGGTCGTTGGAGAAGAGCCCAGGAAGCCTTCTGGGAGAGAGATGTGGTTCCTTGCACGGGGCCTGCTCCTGGGAAGGGCCCAGTAAATGCTATTGAATCAAAGGCATGAACAGCCAGACACAGCAGGACAGCCTGGTTCGCTGTGGGTCCCGTGCCCCAGGGCCTCTCACGCTTCCCCCACCTCAGACACCGGATGGAAACGCTGTCCCAGCCAGTTTCCCATTGTCCCTCCCACATCACCGGCCAGGGTCTCAGCTTGAGAGGGGACCACAGCTCAGGGCAGGCCCCCATTTCATCTAATAGCCCCACAAGCTCCGGAGAGCTCCCTGGTACACGGACAGGGGGGCCAGACTGCCACAAGGGATGCCCGAGGCCACACTCCGGGCAGCGGGCCACACAGGTGAGAGGTCTGGCTGGGGACAGCCCAGGTGCCCACGGCTGTCTCGCTCCCTGCAGCTCTGCTGAGCCCTGTCTCACCCGGTCCTGCTGGAGTCTGCCCTCTAGCCTGGTGCCAACCTGGTCTGGGGGGGTGGTGGGGAGCTGAGCATGGTCTGGGGACGGTTTGATGCTTTTCGACAACAGACACTTCTGAGTTACCCACTGGGATCCGTTGCAGGGTCCAGGCTGAGCAGACAGACCGCAGACGGCGACAGTACTGGCGCAGGGCAGCACCCGCCAGCCCTGAGTGCTCACTACGTGCCAGGCGCGGGGCAGGCACGTGACCGTGGGAGAGGATCAGAGTGCAGGCCCCCTGAGTGCCGACCACCAGCCAGGCCCAGGCCGGGTCCCTGTCGGATCCTCCAGCACCCATGTGCCCATTTTACACATGAGGAAACTGAGGTCAGATGCTAAGTCACTGGCCCGGGGTCCAGAGCTGGCTGATTCAGAGCCCTGTTACCTCTGCTGTTGCTTGAAGGTCAGGGTTAAGTGTCACCGTGCACAGCAGGCTGTGGGGGTGAGGGGTGAGGGGGGGAACCTGCAAGGAATTGGGGTTTGAAGACCTCTGTACCCCCCTCTCCCTCCACGAGGGATCAGGAAACTGAGGCTCAGTGAGAAGAGGAACCTGCACGCCCACAGGGAAGCAGGTCTCTGCTCACGGGCCCCGAGCTGCCTGCTCGGCCGGGTCCCCTGCGCCCACAAAGCCACCGGAACAGGATGTGAAGCGTTTCGAGAGCCAGAGCCGGTGCTGGCTGGGCTGGGCTGGGCGGC